CAAAACTATATTATTTTAATAAAATATTATAAAAAAACTAAAACATTCTCATTTCTATTTTAAAAATAATTAAGATGTTTTAATTTTTTAAGAAGACTTTATTAAATATATAAAATTTATACATAAGTAGATTCCTAATTTATATATACATATAGATACATATGAATGTAAAGAAATATACAGGGAGCCAAAAAAATTATACCTTCTGGGCATGGAACTATTGTTTCTTGATCAAGTGTTTATGAGGAAGGTTGAGAATGCAAGTTTCAGAATATGGAATGGAAAAACAAAAAATGATACAATCTGCAAAAGAGAAATGAAATTAATTCTGCTTTAATTTATACTTTATAGCAAAGAGACTAAAAATTTGTTAAATAAATATGAGAATTCAATTTAATTAAATGCAGAGAATTTATTTATATGAATTCCATTTCATTTTCAAATTAAAAGATAAGGAATAAAAGAAACAAGAGTTGATTTAAGGAATGATTTGCATCTTAGAGAAATTTTAAGTTAAAAATACCTAAAATCTCTTTGATCTGTAAAGGGTAATGAGAAAAAAAAATTGAAGAATCTGATGATCAAGTTAAAACATATGGAGATACTACCAACTTAAAAAATGCATCAAAGATATAATATACAGATTTATATATATAACTAGTTTTTTTTCGCCCGTGCGTTGCACGGGTGTGGTTTTTTTGTTTTTCTTATTTATCTTTAATTGTGTTTATTTTTTCATTTGGTAGATTATATTTATGAAATATCAATGATATAATAGAGAAGAATGAATATTCATAAGAAGGTATTTGAATATCATGCTTTATTGTTATTATTTAATAGTGACTTGTAGTAAGACATTAAAAGTTTTTTATTATTCAATGGTTACTTGTGGGAGATCATTAAAAACTTTGTAATAAACAATGTTTTCTATGTAGCCTTCATAGTCTTGTTCATCATGATCAATGAGAATCTTTAGATCAATTGGAGATGTCACTCTAAATGTAGCTACATATAATTAGCCATGGTTGAAAACAGAATTTGATAGATATAAGCCAACATGCTTTAAGGACTGCCCTTGACTCTTATTAATTGTCATTGTGTAGCATGATCTTAAAAGAAATTATCTTCTCTTCAGTATAAATGGCCATTTTTATTGCTGTGAAGTCATTGTAATTCT